TTGAAAGAAAAATTTTGAGTTACAATGTAAAGATAGTTTTTAATATTTAAAATTATGCAAAATAACATAAAGAAAATTTTAACTGAAAACATGAAAAAAAAAAAACTGAAATAAAACACCATTACTGCGAGTTAAAAAGGATTGACATACTGTTTCAAAATGGCCAACACACGGTCTACATCTTACAAATTAAACTTATTTTGATTGAATATATTGTTGTTTTTCCTTGTGTCTATAGCCAGATAAAATGACTAAATGATACAGTTTAAAAGTTTTTGTAGTGTAAGTTTAGTTTTGTCTCTTTACTGTTTTAAAGTGTAAGTACCGTGAACAAAAGGCACAGCTATACTATACATATATTTGGAAACAAATTCGGTCAGACAAAAGTTCTTTTCTGTCAGACAAGAATAGAAAGTTTGTTCTGACCGAAGTCAGGGCAAATCCAGAGTTTCGCTGGGTGTCGTGGGGCAAGCACCCGGAAGCTCCTGGATAGGGATAAAAAAGAAAATAAACTAAAAAAAGAAAAAAAAATGTAAGGGTACTGTATAAAATATGACGGAATGATATATACATCAACAAAATAGGAAAAATCCCTGATCAGTGTTTATGGACTATGAAGTGAGAAAAGATGTAACGGAACTATGCAAATAGAACTTGATGATAGTCTTTCGTCTTTGTGCGTAAATTGAAAGAAACCCTAATACCTATACCAAGAAAAACAAAACGAAAAAAAAGCCGAAAAAAAAAAAAGGAAAAATAAAAAAATAATATCTTATAGTGTACTGAAAAGATGTATTTATGTTTTCAATTATCTAAGATTTAATAAATTTGACCATTTATTAAATTATATATTATCATTTGACCTTTTTACATTTGGGTTACACAAGTTGTATTACTACAGAAAAATAAAAGATGAAACAATGACAGCTTAATTTTGTCAATAGTAACAAAATAAAAAAAAAATAATAATAAAAAAGAATAATATAAATAATTTTCTTTTGAAATGTATCCTGCATGAAGGTCTTGAAAGAGCCGAAGACTCGGGTAGATCCTAGAATAAAACCAGTTTATAAACCATTCCTGATGTTTGATGTGTATTCTCTCCTTCCTTTTGGATTTACTTGTTGTATTAATTTTGGGAGAATTGTATCCCGTTGGATCCGTCAAACATTGGGTTATCCCCCGAGTCAAACAAGAGCAGAATGTGGGTAGTCCTTTAATAGTTTTTCTTACCTTTTCTACCAGCATCCCTCGTTGGATCCATGACATAAGTAAAAAATGTACCATACCGCAAAGAGGAAAGAAATATACGGAGAAGGCATCTATACGTTACACGTCGGTCTCCGACAGACACAACTTCCGGTAACAGTCTAACACCAAATATAATAAACGAAAAGAAAAGCGGAACCTTCACCACCGATATTACGAATGCAAATGTAAAGATAATGTGTAAAATAAAATACGAAAAATTAGAGGTTGGAGCCGGTTATAACTATTATTACAATAGATGGTGAACAAATTATGCTCAATTATACAGTATTGGAGAACAGAAGAAATAATATAAAAGAAATGGAACTGCAAAAAAAAAAACACTGATAGCTGGCAAATGACCCAACCCACAAAACGAAAAAACAAGACTAGAAAAAACAAACGAACCGCAGAAAGAAATATAAGGAAGTGAAATGTAATTACTGGACAGGCGGCGATAATCAATTGTCCCGTATTGCCCAGGTTGTCGCCAAGCCCTGTACGGAAGTGGAAATATTATACGAAAGGTTAGGATGTTAAGTAAAAAGACAAGTATGCCGCCCTGCTTGGATATTCACTCTTAATTGAACACTTCTTTAAGACAAAACAACTATTTAATATAGATTACATATACAAAATAAAGCCAAACCCTAAAGGGAAAGAACCAACAGCTAAATATCATCCAGAATTTGAAGTTATACATGTACATCTGTTACAAAAGATAAGAAATCCAAAACGTACATCTCAAAGAATACTTATTTTCTCTCTAAAAAAGAAGGAGAAAAAAGCAAAACAAAATTTTGGTGAATATGAACCACTTAAACTGTTGAAATGGTCATGATAAGATATGATCTGTGGTAAGTGGTGAAGCCATTGTATAAAGTACTTCAGTAATCATTTTCTTTGAAATGTATCCTGAGAAGGTCTTGAAAGACCGAAACCGGTAGATCTAGAATAAACCAATATAAACATAGTCCTAAGACATTAATGCAACTTTCATGACATTCAAACATTAGGGCTTATTCAATTGAGATTTAGATACAGTTGTGTTTGGTATAGCTGGAGCTATTGAATTCTCTAATTAAAGTAAATATAGTTCCTCCGGCTAAAAAAAATAATGTAATTTTTTATGTTTCATTTATGGATTGAGGTTTATAATTTTTAAATATCTTAATTATTGAAAATCTGCCTGCCATTAAATTGTTTACCTCAACAACCTAAATACACTAACAGATTACAGTTAGGGAAAAAAAGATATATGTCTCGTTTCGTGCCATACAAGATTGGCCCTGTTTTTTTCACATTCCTTTGATTTTTCTGTTCATTTTTTAGTGCTGATGGCACAATCAACTATTCAGCAGATCTTTGGATCATGTTTACAATGTAAGTCTTTATAAACTATGTGACCCTCTTCAAAATGCGTGTATTGAAGTTTCTAATGAAAAAATTTCATTTTTATTGCGACGGACGCGCCCTCAGAGCTAAGTCATCTACACATGGGATTTCGTTGGCTACACTCGCGCAATGTGTCCTAACCCATTAACAGCCTCAAGAATAGTCTGAAATTTGATCCCTTCCAAACTCCTACTTTGTCGGCCTATCTTAAATGTCTTCATAATTTAGCCTTTTCAATTTTCAAATTTAATTATCCAAGTTAAAAATATGAACGTATATTATTGATAAAACGTTGTAGTCCCGTAGTATTATTGCGCAATATGCAAATTACTGCTGAAACGATTTTTACCGCTTCGAAAAAGTAGACAGCAAAATTTACTTCAATAAAGGCTGTAACCTCTGAGTTTCCAAGACATATTAGTAGGAAATAAAATATTTTCTACATTATACAAACCATTTATTAGTAACAAATTCAAAGTATTTTCGTGACTAGGTAACTTCGGCATTAATAAGAGAGAACTATTTTCGTGACTCATACCGCGGGGTTTAGTGATATTCAGCAGTTATTGAATATATTAGATACAGTACAATGGCTGTATTAAATATCTATTTTGAAAATGCATGTAAGACACTTTACCCGCCATCGTAGTCTTTCATGGTAAGGAAGTTATAATATTCGTTCTACTTCCGATTCAGTGTGTTTGTTTACATATTACTAGGTCTGATATGAAGTTAACCTTCGCTATTCTAAAAATAGATTCTGCTTCACCTGTTCTGGATTTTTTGGACAGCGCGATTAGGAAGTACACATTAAACATGTAATTAATAACCAGCGGATTGTAATGCATTACTTTTTAAATGCTATACAATTGTAAGAAGCAACAAGTTGAAAATGGAATTTGTGAAGTGAAAAGGACAACTAAACACTGTAGTGCTTAAGTTGACATTTAAATTAAAATAAAAACGATGTGCTGCTGGCCTTCTACATCTTTACCTGTTAAATAAAAAAAATCTAAGAAATACACTATTAATTGCCTGATGATAACCAATTTTTTTTTTTAATGAGACATATGCCAAGAGAATAAAAATACCAAATGACTTATATTTTATGTCTGTATGCCCACTATGATATAACAGAAGCAATTTCTAAATAGCATTTCTCAAATGTATATATATGTATTATGTTTTTGAAGTTTTATTTGCCTGGAATTATTCTAGGCAAAAAAAAATACCTAAAAACGCCCCCTCGACCGTGCCTGACCAGATTTCCCCTGCGAATCCCCGGCCCGGGCACCATTGCTGGTCTTCGCCTAGGGGCGCGAATACTAAGTTTTTTCTATTTACATATCATTTCTTTAGAATAAATCGATAAGGACACTTGATTTACAAGTTTGAAGCCAGAGTTTTTATGGCATAAAATTTCATTCTGTATTTAAGTGCTTGAAAGTAGAAAATCTGAATTATATCAATTTGGGACACAAAATATATTGCTTCTACCCAAATCCTTCCCCGAACTTGTATGGAACAAATTTCTCTGTTATAATATTTTGTGTTTTGTTTTTGTTTTGTTTTTTTTCTAAAAGAAGCTTAATTAATGTCTCTCCGTTGCATGTCCGTTCGCATTCAGTGCTGCAGCACTTTGATTAAAAGTCTAGTTTTAACTCCTGTGACCTACTTTATGGAATTGGAACCTTAAACCATTTAAATAGAGGACCCCCTATGTATATCCTCTGAAGTTTAGCCAAAACTCACATTGGTTAAAGTGAAAGATGTTTAAAAAGAATTGTGGATAATGAAGAAACCACTGAAAGGTGGGACAGGACATGCACAATTGCCATCAAAAATGCTCACCTCTGAACACTGTGTTTTAGGTGAGCTAAAATGCTCAAAGAAACCTCTTTTTGCTCTGATATGACAACCAATCACTTACCTTGGTTTTTTTTCTCTTTTATATCATCATTTTTACATTTTCGCTTTCTTGGTGTTGAGAAAGTTAGGATAAACCTTATTTTTTGGAAAATAATTTTTGTTTGAATATAATTTAAATTATATTTTTATATGATTTTTTATCAGAGATATAGCATGACTAACATTAGCTTCCAGTGATTTTTTTTCTTCTCAATTTTAAAACAACCAGAGGCCTCCTGAAGGAGAAAATATGGCATGATAAATCAGGAAAGGGGGAACAATTGAAATCAAATTCCAACAACAAAAAACAAGAGCTTTAAAAATATTTCCTTTCTCAGATTCAATCTTGTTTTGTTGCAAAATATTAGCTTTCTTGAAGTGAGTAAAAAGCAAGATGGAAAATGTCTTGCTTAAATAAATTGAGCAATCACAAAATACCTCTAGCTCTTTTCTTTCTTTCTTGCTTAAATAAATTGAGCAATCACAAAATACCTCTAGCTCTTTTCTTTCTTTCTAAATCTGGAGTCCAAGTTTCATCACTGTCTGAATCAGAACATTGAATTTTATTCTTAGAAGGTAGAGTGGTATGACTGGCCTGGTTCCTTATTTTCGGTCCTTTAGCTCTATTAGAACAACCTTTCATGAAGTCGGGTTTAATTGCAGGCAAACCTAACAAAAAATATAGATACATTGTATATAAAATTATAAACCTAAATCAAAACACAAATATGCCCGTTGTAATGCCACCTGAAACAAAATTCTGAAAAAAGAGGTAATCAAGTATAGCCAAAGGCGAATGTTGTGGCAAATGGTAGATGTCATTTCTTGTCTTTTTTTATAATACTGTAAATTTTAACCAGTTTTAAAACTAACAGATTTTGTTCAATTGATAATATATTTTTGAGGCTATATACTCGGATAATACTAAAAGATATTTAGATGTAGCATAAACATTTTTAAAAACCGTTACACAATGGGAAATATGCGCTTCAATTTGCGGCTCCGTTCTCAAGTTCCTATGGTTAAAATGAATGAGTGAAGTGTTGTGTTCAAAGTAGGAACCCAACATGATTTTAAAGAATATTTTCTTCCACCCTATGGCGGGTCCCTGCGGTAGAAGGAAATATTAAGCCCTGAAAGGTCTATAACAGTCTTACCCATATAGAGCATAATCTCATAATTCTGTGCAATGTTTTTCAGTCTTGTTTGCTGATGAATGCCCATATCATCCAGCTCTTGTTGACTGAAGAACTGAGTAAGATCAATATCTTTGTCCAGAAACTGGTTCAAATCCAGATTCTTCATGGCCTCCTATGGAAATAAAAAACATTATTATTTAAACATATTCAACAGTGATTCAAACTTGGTTGACCATTCGGTCACAGGGCCAATAAAAGTGACTGATGACTGGAAAAAAATAAGCGCAGTATGCCCATTGGTGAGGTCAGAGGAAATTACTGCTCAGACATTATATGACCAAAGAAATTTCATTGGTAAAAGTTGAATGACTGCAGCTCTTGGCACTGTTGAATAATAAAATCTCCAATGACAACAGCCACACTGTTTTATCAAGAAGGGCTATTCCCAATTATGACCCAATTAATTGTCAGCTTGCCTCTGATGACTGTGTCACTAAATTCCTGTGATAGGTATGTCTGGTGACTGTGAGCCAATATTAATTTTAAAAATTCTATCTTTTTTATCAGAATCAGGCTAATTTAAGACTGCAGACCCATAATCCATTAAAAGCTAATGATTCAAAATAATATACAATTTTTTTATAAATTTAGATCAATATTGAAATTCAAATCTAATGCATGCACTAATAAGTAATTGCATAAAACAAAATACTGATGACAAAACCTAATCATGGAAAGTAATTCATATAAAGTAGTATGCTTGATTTCCAATCCTGAAACATTTATATTGTGATCAATATAAAATAATACAATTACATGCTACATTTGCTAAATAATATATGTTTAAATAATAAAAATATATGGACTTTGTTTCTTTGATGCAAATGGTCACTACTAAGCTGCCAAGAAAAAGAGTAAATTAATAAATTAAATGTGGATTCCAAGAAAATGACTGCAGCTCTTGAGTTTACATACTTGGTAAAAAAAATCCTAACTTAAATTAATCTAGAAAATTTGCATTTTGAAAAATCATTGTGTACTTTGGTTGGCAAAATTTTATACAATTTTGAACAAACTTTTAGGAAGTTTTACAATTCTACAAAAAGATAAAATTCATTTCAATAAAAAGTTGTCTCACCAAATTTGGGCCACCTCTTGCCATTTTCTTTAACAGCTTTATCCACTTGTTTTTCTTGTCTTTAGCCTTCCAGAATTAATTAAATTTTGAAATATCGCCAGGTGCCCTAAATTTGTCCATGTGACCTAGTGTTATTAAAGAAAAAAGTTTAATGAGTCTCATAGAATTTACTTGTAAATATAGGGAAAAACACTGACAATTACAAGCCACACACGGTTGATATTAAGAGCAAGCCATCAGCCAAATTTACCATTTTAAACTATCTTTTTTAAACTATCCAAATAAGAAAAACAGCACAAACATCTGGACTACAGTCCACTTACAAATTAATAAATACAAAGTCTTCAGTGATTTTTTTTGTTTGATTTTGACCCCGAAATATGGCCTCTTCACAATACCAAAACAACATTAAAAATTTACAAAAATGTGTAAAAAAAATCACAATTGGCAGGATTGCTATTCAATACCAAACAAAATAATGAACAGACAAAAGACAATCTTGAGAATTTGATTATATATTTGAGGGAATAAAAAGAAGAAAACTTGAACTATGAACATAATTATTAAATGTATGAATAAAGTGACAACAGGTGATGATTTATTCTTGTTTATTTTTTCACAATTTGACAGATTATCGTGCTAAAAATTCACAATTTCAGGGGTAGGGTTGTTGTGAAAAAAGTTTTAAAAAATGAAAAGGTCCTTCTTTGAGTTCATTTAAAAGGGGAATAATTTGGTGGAATTTGCAGTCTGCAGCAGGGCTTTTCTTCATAGGTTCTTCATAGGTTGGGGAAGCAGCCCTGCCCTTCATTTTGGGGGAAAATTACAGGGTAAATTTGCAAAAGGGGAGAAAAAATCTTTATGTATACTGGTGCCTCATATTTCTGAGGTACTTAACTGTTTAACACAGACAACAAAAGTTAAAAGGATAAAATTCTGAAAAACACATTGAATATTGTAGGATAGACATGTCAGTTGCATCATAGTTTATTCCATTTAATGTGTGCATGTAAACAATTATGTATACAGCATTGTAATTAACACCCATCTGCTGCCTAGTGAGTAAAGTTGCGTTCTCATATTTCCAAGGCAATTACATTTTAATAGTTTCAAAAGCAAACCCAATAGTAATATTTATTTTTTAGTACACCTTTACCTAGGCTTGTCTGAATGTGGGGATTTTCTCTTTGGCATTTATCAAATATTTCAATGGTTGTTTAACAAAGACATTTGTCTTAAAAGGTATGAAATCTAAAAGTAAAATGGTGAAATAAATTACTTTGCTCTTAATCTGAATAAAAAGAATATTTTTTTCCAGTCGTATCTCGATATATGTTATATTTCTATAAAAATACAATAAAATAGTAAAAGTAAAACTACTGGCAGGTTCATGAAGTCTAGGAGGCACTTTGGACTGTTTAAACCTAATACCTTGGAAATATGGGTACCACGGAAATATGAGGCGCCAGTATAAATTCAATTTTTGGGGAAACCTGCATGATTTTAAACAAATTAAAGGATTTTTCTTTGGGGAAGCAGACCTATAACGGCCCCTGCTATGGGAAAAACAAGATTGAAGAATATATAGATCTATAAGGTTCATTGCGTTTTTTTAGTGCATTAAATAAGTTTTATTTTTGAGAAAAAACGTGATGGCATGCAATTTTCCGAAAAATGGGAAAAAACCTGGAAGTCAAACTCCGTTCCGGTGTTGTAACAATGAGCTAATGATTATTGAAAATAGTATTTAAGACAAATTAGATTTATAAAGATATGAGTTTAATCTTTTAGAAACAATGCATGATACCTTCGGAAAGCACAATTTTGTTTTCCCGCTCGTCTGTGCAGACGACAACTCATCCGTGTTTACAAACGCTGTACAATAGCTTTATTCCGGAAACCGTATTCCGGCATAATAATTACAACACTCCGTACATCAAAATAGGAACCGTTGGATTTATTCCAAAAATTTTGAAAGGTGTGAAAACCCGATATGCTAAGCTTTCAACAAATATTCCTTGAAAACAATGTATCTATATAAACACGGACTTTAATCGTAATGTAAATTAGTGATATAAAGCAGGCGGGTGCAAATTAGGACAGAAGAATTTTCTAGGCCATTCCTTGCGTCCTGCGCCAGATTGTAAGGTATTTCGGTAACTACCTATCTATCTTCCATTAATGTCAAACCCTCGCGGGAACGTAGATATTACTCTAGACTAGTCACTTCAGAAACAGCTATGAGATACAAGGGAATCCGAGCACCAGTCGCTAGCTCTTATTGAAAAGACTCATTGGTTCTTTTGTATGCCCAGTGTATAGCACTGATTCATTCGAGGATTACCTGGATTTCTTACCCGTACACTTCTAGAAAAGCGAATGGAATGATTCGTATTTATCACAACAAATCAAATCAAAATTTATTTATTGTCGGTATATATATATATATAACATTTCACAAATCATAAGCTATGTACATCTTTGTTTTGTTTTGTTTTGGGTTGTACGTCACATCGACACAGTATAGGTCATATCGCGACGTTCCAGCTTTACTGGTGGCGGAAGACCTCAGGTGCCCTTCCGTGCATTATTTCAGGCACGAACGGGTACCTGAGTAGAATTACCGACGTTCCGTAAGCTAGCTGGATAGCTTCCTCACATGAAAGAATCCAAAGTTCCTGTCGGGATTCGAACCCACAGAGGTGAGGGGCAAGTGGTTTGAAGTCAACGACCTTAATCACTCGGCCACGGACGCCCCTATGTACATCTAGGCCTACATGAGATGTCACATGTAAGCCCTAGTACTAAAACATGACATGATATACCTTTTTCGTTATCATATACAAAATATAATATATAAACTGACTGATTAATATTTGTTGATTAATAACTGCACTAAATTTTAATGTCATGGTGTAGTAACATTTACTTCTTATGGCTCTTCACGTCTCTGACTGACTTCAAATATGTGAGAATTTATGCTATAGTAATAGATAGAAATAAAAGAAAAAAGTGTATTCAGAAAAATAATATAATACAGAAAATTTTGACCTAGGGAAGACTAGCACTACTAAGTAGGTATCTTATAAATATGTATCAAAATTGTGTCATTTCTTAGATATAAATGCGAATATAGATAATCTTGAATGTTATTCCACACTTGTAAGTTGCATAATATTGATTAGCCAGGGATTCAGGTGTTGATATTTGTTGCTTATTCATATATACATTTTATACGCGTTATAATTACACGTTATTCATACACGTTATTCATACTCGTTATTCATACTCGTTCGTGTTTTTTATAATATCGACGTCGATTTGCCGAACTGAAGCACATAAGAAACTAACAGACTGCAACCCAGTCTAAATTTTGATATGTGCTTTTCTATAGCAACTGCGCTGCGAAGATCATAGTACATAAGTTTCCATATTTGAGTTGTACAAAACATGATAAACAAGATCAACAAGGAAAGGCGGCGTTCAATGAACGCAACCCCCATATGACCCAGCAACAGGAACCAGTGGCAAGGAGCCAGTCTATAATATATTCTTCATGGAGACTGATGTTAGATCATATATTGTCTTGTATACTAACTAGTATTCTAATATGATAACTAGTTTCTTCGGGTACTGAAAGAAAAACATTTTAATTCTTAAACTAACGGTAGGGATGAATGGTCTTGTTTTTTTTTAATCTAGTATCATTCAAGCAGAACGTTTTTGTTTATTTTAAGTTATATCGCTACTATAACACAATACATGTACCAAGTATCCATAATCAAATACGGGTAATGCATTGAAATACAATTTCCGCATAAATTATCTTGACTTTTTTTACTCTATTTTAAAGTTAATCTTATTGTTAACTCTATCTGTGTATGCGCCATACAAGGCTTTGGTCAATGATTCCTTAGCACACTCTATTTGGCAATTGTTTATAATGATAGATGGATCTTTTTTACTTCGGGTAACGAGAGAATATTTGCATGCAGTTTGATTTCTTAGGGTTCATTGCCACATATGTCACAAAGTCTGAAGCATTTGCTGTATACATGTATTATCAAAAGAAAAGTCACTCACGTATATAAGGTAGTGCCGTCTGCATACACATCGGTGCTACAAAAGTGTACTTCAAATGTAACTATGTCATAAATATTAAGCAGAAATAAAAGAGGACCTTATATAGACCCCTGAGGGACACCCAGAAGAACAGTTAAATATATTGTGATGCATTAAAGCCAAGTTTTACCATCTGTTGTCTTTTCGAAAGATATTATTCAAACCAGATACATATTATATCCTTTAGTGGCGGAATGGACGAGTGGTTAATGCGTTGGATTAGTAATCTAATGAACGCTAGCCGAATGGGTTCAAACCTCTACAGGATCATGTCATTGCTTCTTGTTGTACCCTTGAGCAAGAAACTTTGCACTCATTGCATGCTAAGTACTGCCTACCCGATCGAACTAAAATAAGTTCTGTATAAACTATATTGAAGTAAAAATGAAGTCTATCATCGTAAGCATCTTTAGCGTATCTTGAATTGACACGTGCAAGTTTCAACTCGTACTGAAATTATGTACAATGTTAATTTATCAAATTTTCAAAATGAAGTCCTTCATATCGTAGTATGTACTAACGTTACAGTGATTTTCCCTATATTTTACAGCCGAATAAAGGTTGTTTCCCCTAGCCCAAAATATGCATATGTTCCACGAAAATTACTACATTTCACCCTGAAATGCATTGTGCACATTCTTCACCAGAACCATGACTAAACAGCAGCTGATTGATAAATTTAATTGACTGAAAGGCAGAAAGCTGTCATTATAGATACTCTCTGCTATGTACCATGCATGTAAAATCAAAGTGCTGCAGCACTGAATGCGACGGACATGCAACCGGAGAGACATTAAGGCTTTTTTTTAGAAAAAAAAAAACAACAAAACACAAAAGATATAACAGAGAAAATTTGTTCCATACAAGTTCGAGATTTGTAGAGCAATATATTTTATGTGTCCCAATCTGATATAATACAGATTTTCTACTTATACAGAATGAAATTTATGCCTAAAAACTCTGGTCAAACTTGTAAATCAGTGTCCTTATCGATTTAAAGTATTCCAAGGAATGATATGTAAATAGAAAAAAAACTGTCAACGACATATTTCTAAAATAAAACCATGCAAATTAACTTCAAGCATAATACATTATACATGTGATAATGTTATTTAGAATTGCTTATATCATAGTGGGCATATAGAAAATAAAATATAAGTCATTTGTATTTTTATTTCTCTTGGATATGTCTCATTAAAAATATTTTTTGGTTAAAATCATCAGCAATTAAAAGTGTATTTTTTTAGATTTTTTTATTTACAAGGTAAATATGTAGAGGCCAGAGCACATCGTTTTTATTTTAATTTAAATGTCACATAAGCTGTCCTTTTCAATTTCACACTAAATTCCATTTTCAACTTGTTTGCTTCTTACAATTGTAAGTATTGCATGTAAGCAAAGTAAGTATCCGCTGGTTTATTACATGTATAATGTGTACTCCCTAATCGCCTGCAGGTGAAGCAGAATCTATTTTTAGAATGGCGAATGTTAACTCATATCGTGACCTAGAAAAATATGTAAACAAACCACAAGAATCGGAAGTAGAACTGATATTATAACTTCCTTCAATAAAGATTACCATGAAAGACTACATGGTAGTAAAGTGTTGAAAAAACTTTCTTGTTACATGCATTTTCAAAAATAGATAATTATACTAACCATTATACTGTATCTAATTTATTAATAACTGCTGAATATTCAGCTAAACACGCGGTATGAGTCACGAAAATAGTTCTTCTTTTATTAATGCGCGAGTTATTCTAGAGTCACGAAAAACTTTTGATTTGTTAATAATAATGTTTTGTATAATGTAGAAATATTTATTTCCTACTAATAATTTCTTGGAACTCAGAGCTTACACCTTTATTATAGTATAATTTGCTGTCCTACTTTTTCGACAGCTGTAAATCGTTTCGGCAGTAATTTGCATATTGCGCAATAATACTACGGGACTACAACGTTTGTATCAATCAAATACGTTCATATTTTAACTAGGATAACTTAATTTGAAATTGAAAAGGCTAAATATGGAAGATTTTAAGATATCCCGACAAAGTATGTGAGTTTTAAAGGATCAAATTCATGTACTATTTCATGGGCTGTTATTCGGTTGAGGACACTGCGCGATTGTAGCAGACGAAATCCCATGTGTAGATGACTTAGCTCTGAACGCGCCTGAGGGCGCGTCCGTCGCAAAAATGTTTGGGATGATTCGATATTTTATTTCATGTTTTCCCCCTTTTCTTATTTATCGTGCTATATTTTGCCCTTCAAAAAGCCAAAAGTAGTACAGTGTATATAGTACTAAATCAAAATAATAAGATATCCGCTATGAACGGGAAAAGAGCAGTTGGCCTAAATATAAATTCCAGAAAATGGAGACCATTCGAGGTCAATCAAATCAGGTACATCTGTTTATAGTTACCTCCCGTTTTAAAGAATATTATTGACTTCCCTGTCATAATATTTTGACCCCCGGTCACAGTATTATGACCTCCCCACACGTAAGAAAATGACCCTCGCGAAGATTGGCGATTCCCTTTCCCCTCTCCACATTGTAAATAATGACCTCTGTCATTTGTCGTTATTTTTTTAAAGAAATGTTATCCCTTTCACTCGTTAGAAGGAAATAATGAAAAAAAAATGAAGAAAATAATGGAGAAAAAGTGAAATTTTGCAAAAAGGAAATAAAGGAAATGATTTTATAAATTTTCTTTTCGAGTTAAATCATGCTTAAATCACTGATCATTATTTTTTTGAAATGCAAAAGCTATAAGTGGAAATATCATAAATTCTTATTTTGTTTGTACTTTGTTTGTTGAATTCATTTCAGTGTTGTTATATTTTTCTGGTCATTCGGAACACAATACATGTTGAAGATTGAGTTCCGCTCAAGCCGGGTCTAGGGGACGTTAGAAAAGTTGCACTTTTCATTATCCCCTATGAGCAGACTCAATCAGACCGAGTCTGAAATTTTCATGTTGTTTTGCTGATTTCAATGCATTGTTGTTTTGATGGTTTAAATGCATTGTTATTTTGCTAATTTTAATGCATGATTATTTTGCTGATTTAAATGCTTCCGAGGGATCACTTTTTTCCGATATTTACAAAACGAATTTACTTATCGTTGTTCATTTACATTGTACTTCGACAGGATCATGTCTTTGTTTCTTTTTGCTTGCTTGAGCAAGAAACTTGTCGTTTGGATGCGACAAAACGCATCAAAACTCCAAACCGGTGTTAAATAGCCGATATACACCTCTCAGGACGATGTTATTTCTTAATTTTACACTCGGTATTTAGAGAAATGGGGTCACTGTTACAATAGAAATATGACCGAGGAGCCGGTATTTTTAATGAAAATTACAACGGTCATTTTTTTTAAAAAGAATATTGACTCCATATGTGGTATAATAGAATGACCCCTATACACGAAGTAAATGCATAATATTATGCTGAGAGAATTTAAGGGTCAAATCTAATGTGACGTCACAGATGTTCAATTCAAGAGTTCTTTTACTCTTTAGAATTTGTCTTTCTCTTTCCGAACCCGTTTTAACTTCAAAATACTATATATACAATGTACCAACAAACATTAACTATACATGTATATACATTTCTGATTTAAGGCCCATTATCCCTCATTACTAATTGGCCTACTTAAATTGCTTCCATTATAGGGATTTTCTATTTTGTATGGAAATCAAAATACTAGCTTTTTTTTTACATTTTACTACTTTTATGACCAATAATTTCACATTCACCGCCACTGTCTTCAGGTGATAAGCGTCTGAAATGCTATAAAACCATTAAAACTCATGTTTTCCCTTTCTAAAGAAGGAAAAAAATATTCCTTTCTGATGCATAATGTACCTTTAAAAGAATAAGATACAAATGATGTTTTATATACATTTTGAAATAACAACAAAATAATGAATATAATTATGTTTAAATATATTCTCGTCCGCACACAGACACAAACGTGTTGAAAGCCACACTTGAAAATACACGCGCGCACGCACACCAACACGCGTAACATAGGCACACACGCGCGAGCACGCACACACATGTATGAAAACAAGAAAATTAGATAGTTTTACTAGCTCTTGCAGAATTTTTTCAACTTGTTTTTATATGATAAATGTTGCAGTTTATTATTCAGATGTTTTGATCCGGGAATAAATCTGACGGTTTACAATAATTTGGTTATAAGAAAAATCTATATGGTGAAGAACATTTTAAAAAGACTCAAGGAAACGAATTTGTGATCCACGTGGGTCTGATTAGAGCGTTAAGAAACCACAATAGTTGTATCAGTGAACCCTGGAAACGTTATTGAACATGTCAAATGAATGATTTAGGTTTGTTTCAATCATACAATATCCACAATTTCTGATATTATACCTTCCAGGGTTTGTTGTCACATGACTTGTTTTCAAACTGCTCTATGATTCTGTTGGTGTCTAAATTTCGTTCAACATGTATACATAGATATATTTACGCTTCAAACCCAAAATATATAGAATTTATACAGAAATTCATGCTGGAACTTTAACAAAAGTCAATTTAGCGTGATTTGAGTACATAAGATAATTTTGATATATTTGTCATTAATTTTCCCGAGAATCCCTTTAATAATTACGTAACAGTTGTAATGTACTGACTCGATGTTGATCAAATCCTAAGTAAAAAATACTATGTATCGCCCGCATATGTGTGAAAATTATATGTGTTTATGCACACACAAACAAGAAGAATAACAATAGGAAAAAACATAAACCAAAACCAAACAAAAATTCTGCAGTTGAAAAATTATACCCCAGGATTTTCAACTCTGGAAATAAATGATGAAATTATGAAACCGATTTTACAAATGAAATATACAATTCGTTTGTTGTAGAACACATTATCCTGTTGACTTGTATTGTGATTGTTTTCATTCATTGATACAGTAAAACTCCAGTAAATGTTGTTTTCCTTTTATCAATGTCATGCATTTTATTCAGCGGTGCCGCTGTTTGTAGCCAGACTTTCTGCCCTTTTGATAAATGCATCACGACTGCATTTGCTGACGTCACATCCTGTCCGTCATGCCACGCCTCTGCACGCGCAGATGCTTTTTCCTTGCCGTCTACAAAAAGGTTGACATGAGCTGCTTTTCCCTTTACATTTAATACTTCAACAAAGAACATCAAGAAGTATGTTCCTTTAACTGGGGCTATGAACATTCCTGTTTTAATATTATATCCAAACCCTTCATTGCTATAAACCAAGTCAAAAATGATCACGTGGTTAGCACTTACATCTTTCAGCGTCTTAGTTAATGCCAACGAGAAGTAGACATGCTTTTCTGAAAATAAAAAAGAACAAAAATTAACAATTATATTTACAATAATGTCGGCGTGATTGATGATGACGTCGGGAATTATGGTGACGTTGGGTTTTTAATCATGTCCATGAAGAAACAAGAAATAACCAAATACTTTGTAACGGATATATACGGAAGAGCATTAGTGCCAGGTGTATGTTTTTTATTAACTCGAAATTTCCAGTTACTAACTCGAAATTTCGAGTTACTTATCTCGAAATTTCGAGTTACTAACTCGAAATTTCGACTTACTAACTCGAAATTTCGACTTACATTGCACGACTTTCATTGGTTGCCGGTGAAAGCATGGATTGAATTCAAGATACTTTCTTTCGTGTGTAGCTGTTGCACATTGACAGAGCACCTTTAACATTTATTTAACAGAACAATTTTATAGGGTCAAATTGTCCACACATACTGAACATATCCTTCGCTTTTTTTGTGGAGGGCGGGGGGTGTAAAATCACACTTTCCACATTTCTGTGTTAACCGGGTGTCTCTTTTTCTTAAGCACATATACAACCATCATGTGGTGAAACAACAAGTCCAAAACCCACCCTATTGTAAACTGTGCAATATCATGTGTTAAATAAGTTAGTCTGTCACGTTTCTTTATACTAATAATGTTTTTGTAACATTATTCATTATTTACTAATACTTTGATATTGTGTTGATAAAGTTGATAAAAGTGATACTTGTTGTTATATGTTGGGAATAATATAAAAGCATCCGATTTTACAAGAAATATAGTCAGTCCAACAATTTTGACAAAGGCCTCAGCACGCCCTATTTTGGCCACGCCGCGATACTTTCCTCAGATGTCCAACACGTGAAGTATAGGATTGGTTTTTTACAGGGATGAGTAGAATATGATTAGCGAAAAGATATGTTCGAACAGATGAGCTGAAGAACGCCTGAACGTACAAATTAAAGGAAGCCTTTTTTTTTAGGTCGGGTGTGTATATGCCATTACTAATTTTAAGTTAAATTTCAATAGTTTTTGTCCAGGCACCCGTTTCTCCATCTCCATCGTTCAAAGGCACTGCCTACTATATCTTATACCATCTAACTAATAACTTTGGCCATTCTTGTAATGTTAGTAAGTCGAAATTTCGAGTTACTAAGTCGAAATTTCGAGTTAGTAACTCGAAATTTCGAGATAAGTAAGTCGAAATTTCGAGTTAGTAAGTCGAAATTTCAATTAAGTAACTCAAAATTTCGAATAAGTAAGTCGAAATTTCGAGTTAGTAACTCGAAATTTCGAGATAAGTAAGTCGAAATTTCGAGTTAGTAACTCGAAATTTCGAGTTAGTAACTCGAAATTTCGAGTTAATAAAAAACATACACCTGGCACTAATGCTCTTCCGTAGATATATACTTATGTGAAAATTAAGATTATTTTGGTACCTACTATGATTTAAAAAAAATATTTTATTTTATTTATAAAATCAATTAAAGAATGTCAAGTGACGTGCAACTACAATAAATTCCGAAATGTTGTCTTCAGTTATAGATTTTGTACTTTTGGTTTCTAACAATATAAAAGATGTAATGATAACTTTCATATTTATAAATCCACTTAATTTAAATGGATTTTACGCGACATAATGAATAAATTATGTACAATGTAACATAGAGAAAAGCAGTATCCATAAAAAACACCCAAAAAGGCAAAAATGAAAATATTGCAGGCTCGGTTTGACTGAGCCTGTTCACGAACGGTAGTGGTAACAGTTAATTGTGACGGTAATTAACTTTTTGACTATTGGTTCCTGTATATTGTTTCCGGGTCAATGTAAGAAGTGAACAAGAGTCACCGTCTAGCGGAGCCACTATTGTTTTTTTCTTATTTCTCAAGTCAAACACATATTATAGTGAAGAGTACTCCTATAAAACATATTTTCTTCGTAAGAAATGAAATCCATATTTCATGTTTGAACTTTACGGTCAATGTCAAATTAAATCCATATTTCATATTAAGTTTTGTCATTGACGGTCAATGTCATTATTGAAGGGTGAGGTCACATTTGAATTAATCATCTTGCCTGTTTTGTCAGCATGTATGTTCTTTTGTGCAAGTATGATTCAAATCTATAAATGAATAACAAAGTTATGACAGTTAAAGCAAATTTCAATAATTTGACCTTGACGGTCAAGGTCAAAAAAGGTCAAACCCATATCATAATATTTCAATTTGTCGGTTTTGCCATAAGTCTCCTTTTGTCCAAGTATGAATGAAATCTGTAAGTCATGACAATTTAAACAAATTTCAATTATTTGACCTTGACGGTCAATGTTAATTAAAGGTTAAGGTCATATCAGAATAACTCAATATGTCGGTTTTGTCATATGTGTTCTAAAATTTAATCCAAGTACGAATCAAACCTGTAATTAAAGAACAAAGTTATGACATTTTAAGCAAATTTCAATAATTTGGTCATATTTGAATTATACAACATATGGATTTTGTCATAAATGTTCTTTTGTCCAAGTATAAATCAAATCTATCAAAAGATAACAAAGCTATCACCAATTGCAGCAAATTTCACTAATTTGACCTTAAGTGTCAAGGTCAAATTAAGGTCAATGTCACACTTAAGACCAAGGTCAAATTTAATTTAATCTTCAATCTCTTGTCCCATTGATTCTTGTGTACAAATATGCAGACAATACATTTATTAATTACAAAGTTAAAGCCAACTATAGTGATAAAACTGTGAAATAACAATTATCAATTTGGTCTTTTTAAGGCCTTGTCTGTCGTAGTACGAAGATTATCCATTCATAAATAACGAAGTTTTAGTTAATAATAGCAAACATCAAGCAAAAATCATTAATATGAACTTCAAGGTCAATTTCATTGATGAGTGAAGGTCATAACCAATTTGGTTTACTTGAAGGACTTGTTCAAAGTATTGTTGCTTCCAATCCATTCATACATAACAGAAGTATAGCCAATTATAGAAAAAAGCAAGACAAATTAAAACATTTGACCTTGAAGGTCAAGATCATTCATTAGTGAAGTCAAAGTTCTCAGTTTCTAAGACAAATTTAGGGTTACAAACTTAATTCACTCTTAATGAAACTAAACAAACGAATATATATCAAACTGCGTTTTAGAAAATTGGCCATTAACTGATCGGCACAATAATCATTTGGGGACCATTTGCAGTCTTTTGTAAAACTATATATATGCTTGTGATTTTGTTTTTAATTGTTTCTTCATATAAACTTAAATAAAGTTCAATACCAGCAGAAGAAGTAACTTGTCGATTCTTTGTTTGCTTTTCGTCCTTTGATACCACTTTCAGGTTGTTTTCTTTTGCTGTTTTTGTCGAATCTATGCCTGTCTGAGCCTAGAAAAATTATAAAAAATGATTTTGATATTAGAAAATGTGTAAAGGTAAGTAATTACTCTGCTGAAACCAAAAGAAACTTTCTTAGAGAGTAATTACTTATCCCTCTTATAGAAAGCGATCGTTGCCATAATAAATATGTATAGTCAAGGCACGTTTTAAAGGAACATTATTCCTCAGAAACAAATAAATTTTAACACCTTAGAAAAGACAAACATGAGTTTTATAATGTTTGAATAATGTTAGATGCTTGTCACATGCAAAAAATAATTACTACTATGAAATAATTTTTCATTTAAGTAGCAAAATGAAAACAAAGTAGTATTTTGACTTTCATACAAAAAATACTAAATAATTTACTTAAACTGTACTTATTGCCAAAAAAACTATGTTCAGATGAAAAAAATGCTTCCGGTAATTGGCCAATGAGTAACTTTTTGGATACTATAAAAGAACGCCAAAATTAATATAAAAAAGCTTGTTAGAAATAAAAACAAAAACATATTTGAGGCACAGTGGACCTTTAGCAGGTTGACTTGGCTCCATATTAATTTTTTTAACTCAATAAAAAAGGAGTAAATAAATGGAAATCGGACAAGTCACATTAATATTAGCATGCGTTGTTTCCAGGGTTAAATGATATATAATATAATTTGCATTTAAACATTTTAGTATTGTTTTTATTCATTGTGTCCCATTTTATAGCACAATGTAAACTTCAGTAAGAAAACCATGCAATAGTGTGAATATATTGATGTATAGCATAACCTTTGATGATATGAAATATGTGTAGCTAGGGGGACAATTCCTCAGATCTGCTGTGATATGGTCTGTGGACTTGTCTCCCTTAGAGACAAAATAAGAGAAAAATAGTCTCAGGTATTCTCTTTAGAATGGCTTTCCATGTATTTTATGTTTGTGTTTTATGTTATATATACAATTTTATGTATACATGTAAAGATGGGAATGCATTAAAGAAATGAATACTTTAATACTGTCATATCGCTAAATAATAGCCAAGGGCCTCCGAATGGTAGTATGTATGTACTTACTTTTTCTGGAGGGCCCGGACGTCCTTTCTGAGCAGCCAAATTATTGCGACCAACCACTGCAAGTAAAAAAGATGTATAATCATAAATTATGATGTAATTAACTTACTACAGTTATGGAGTACAATTAAACACGTGAGTGACACTTGCATTTTAACGCCTTGTCCGGTATATACCGGAATACGGTATTTAATGTGGTGCTCCATCGATTTTTTTTTCAGTCTCACACAATCATGATAATATTATGATGATAACTACTACATATTGCATTCAATATCATTATTGTCACTCATCATCATCAAAATTATCATCATCATCATCAAAATTATCACCATCATCATCATCATCAACAACAACAACATCGTCACCATCATCAACAACAACATCATCATCATTATAATCAACAACAATAACATCATCATTATCAACAACAACAACAACATCATCATCATCAACATCATCATCAACAACAACAACAACAACAACATCATCATCATCATCATCAACAACAACAACAACAACATCATTATCATCATCATCATCAACAACAACAGCATCATCACCATCATCATCATCAACAACAACATCATCATCATCACCACCATCAACACAACCTTAATCTGATTATCCAATAATTACTATTATCATTGTAAGCATTGTCAAAGAAATAAAAGTTCTGTTCTGTTTTGGTGTTTCTGATAATTTGTTCAGACATAATTAGTATCTTTCAAAGATCATGGCGGAATGGCCAATATGGTGGGCGCTTTTATTCCAAACTTATCAGTAGAAACGCTACGGTAACACTTTTATTTTTATTCATAGCATTTAACATGGCATAAGAAGAAAATATAAAAAAGTAATAAATAGTGATCTTAACCTCTGGGAATATATTGTCCAGCCAAGATTTTGTATATACATGTATTTAGTTTATTTTTATATTTTTTTTTATCTTCGGACACGTGTTACTCACGATGTACAAATAACAAAGAAATTTCAGATGAAATCAGTTAATTACGTTCACAGATGGGAGAAGTATATGTTGCCTAGATCATATTATTTAAATTATTTTTATAGACTTTTATAACAACTTTGACATATGATCATGCTATTGATTTGTTTGAATACATATTTTTTTAGCTCGTTTGTGATAAAAGTTTAAAGTTTATTCAATCTGACTCAAGTTCAGTTGACGACCGTATATCTTTCGCTTTCTTTATAATTCGAATTTCCTGAGAAAGCTATTTTAAACCATGCAATCAAATCTTTTTAACATAGGCGTTACAAGAATCAAAATACTTATATCCGTAGAAGTTAAATAAATTGTTGATTTTTGTTAAAAAGAAAGAAAAAATTAAGAAATTTTTAACAAATTAACTTGAAATAATAGTCAATTTTTAATAAACAAGATTGTTTTGCCAGTTTACTTGTCGGCTGTATGGGCAACGTCATGTTTGTTCTCGAAATCGTGAAAATTACCTTCTCGGTATTGGTTTTCCCAGGGTTGTGAAAGGTCACCAAAATGATTTCGTATTTGGTCACGGTCAGATCTAAAAGCATTATTTAGAGCTGATTTTAATCAGTTCGAGACTTATTTGAGACACCATTCGAAGTCTGAATCCTGAAACTGGCCTATACCGGGGTGATTTTGGTTGAGATGCAGTTACCTTGACAACTAACCCACCGCTGCCGCTATTGGTTGCCTCGTGTTGACCATTAACGATACTTTAAAGGCCCAAAATGGGTTTACTTATATCTCTTAAAAGTGTTGGTTTGTTGTTGTTGTTAATTATTGTAATTTTGTGCCTTTTTAATTTTATTTTTGTGGTGCCTTGTTTGTTATTCTTTACTTTGGTGCCTTTTTTATAGCTACTAACATTGGCTTATTACCTTAACCTTCTTTTTCAATTAAAACAGTTACAATGTACAGTGTTTTTGTATTTTGTAGAAGACAAAGTACCACCTTATTTACATTTTGTACCTTTATGAAAAATAATATCACAATAAGCGCTACTTTCTTCGGGTAATAATCACCTGAAATGCTCTTAATTAAACGTTACAAAATTCATGTTTTCCTTTTATGATGAAGTAAAAATTCATTTGTTTCTACGGCATAATATGCCTTTAGACATAAAAAGCCCTAGTAAAAACTATGGAGCAAGTTAGAACTTACGTCTAATTACTTACAATCTTCAAATAGTTTCATCTTTTGCTGACTAGAATTCATTTTGTCGTCTAAGGCTTGCGACATGTTGCGCAAATTCTGGATATTTTTGGAAAGGGTACTATTCATGTAAGATATTAGCTTAACTAAATCTTCCGTTGGTATTTTATTAAAGTTTTCACTGTTGTCAATCTGCTCCGTTACCGTAAACCCGTCCGCTGCTTGCAACATTGCGGTGCTACCCGCGGAGCCTAGTTGATAAAACTCCTTACGAATCTGTTTCACTTTTTCTTCTACTTCCGCCTCTAGATTTGACTTTAACATAAAATAGTTCCCTAGGGTTGAGCACACAGACAAAGTAGCAATTGTTAAACCGGCAACAATAACAATCCTATAAGTATCAACCATTGTAATTGTTTTAAGTGTCTTTTTGTGAATTTTATCCAATCAGAATAAGTCTTTGTTAGTAACCAATCAAAATAGGGTGTTTTTTTTTTCTTTCTTGATGAGTAGCCAATCAGAGTAGGTTTGACATGGTGTCTCCTATCCTATATCAATTCAAAATATCTTAAATAAAATATCGCTTATGCCAAAATGCGTACACTAGTTCCATTTTGTGAATTATTATTCCGGATTTTACTACATTTTTCAATCAAAATTCTATTATACATGTAAATAAACGTGATGTAACAAAACTCATCACATTAGATCCCTTAACTGATTTGATCCGAGCTGTAATTAAGAAAACTTGTAATGATTCTTTGTATCATTTTCACAACACCATTGAAAAACGTGGAATAAATTTCTCCAATAAAATTACATGCTAGTAATCTCTTATACGTTTTTGTTTTTTTGTAACAAAGATGTTCAAAGTTGTTTTTCTGTGGTAGATATCGAATTCTAACCTGGGAACATTAAACAGCCGCCACAAACATAAATCAAATTAATGTCCTTATAATTTGTCTTAGACTTGTCAGTAGAAAAGTAATCGAACTTAAGATTTTTGCAATATCATTCCCATTTTTACAACATGTCATCTACTTGCTGAATATTAGGCCATTCCTAGAACATCGATTTTTAAAGAAAGTAAAAAATAAAAACAGAAACAACAACAAAAAAACAACAACATAAAACCAAAAAACGAAATCAACAACAAGAAAAAAAGAAGAAAACAACAACAACAAAAACCAAAACAAACCCACAAAAAAACAACAACAACAAAATGACAACAACAAACAAACAAACAGCAACAAAATATAAACATACTTCATACAAATCCTTGAATAAAATATAATTTCTTGCGGAAAGCATTATGACTTCTAAGCAAATAAAAAAAACTGTGATGTCATAAGTACATGTGACATCGTTCTTATTACACAAAAGCTTGTGTAAATTCGGTGAACATCGTGATCCAGATGATCCTTTTCATATAGTCTGTATCACCCAGAAGTTTGAATTTTACATCCCCTGTTTTTGCCATATCGTGCTTTGTGCAATATTCTTAAGGTTTGCAAAGAGGCAAAACGTTTATTTGTTTGTACAAAATTTTAAACAAAAATAAAAAAACAAAACACTTTCAAATTTAGAAAAATTATACTACGAGAGTTGACACAGAGCAAAAACCCACTTTTAGGGGCACCTAGTTCCAAAAAATAGACTGACGGCCTCACGTTCTTTACATCAATTTGTTTCAATCATGTCTTTAGTTACATATCTGCAAAGTTTAAGATTTTATTCTTCCGTCTTTGCATTTGTAAGAAACAACTTCAAAATGTGTGCGTGGGCTAGATAGCATCTGATTATCTAAGACACTGTGTATAACTGTGTCAAAATGCTTATATGCCGTGAACTCGATATATTTATCTAAATTTAATATGCCACATCTGCTTATCTTAGTTACTGAAGCATAATGAAGTTACCAGATCGATGCTAATAGTCTTGACTTATTGATTCTCACATAAGGGATTGTTTTTCTAAAACTTGATATAAAAACTTGATAACTCTCAATCATCACGTTGAATATAAGTATCAAGCATGAAATTTCTTTAAGGTAATTCGTTTTGTTTAAATTTATTTTGGTCGTAAGTCTGAAATTTCATTCATTTGAAGTGCCAAACGTTATTTCCAGATAAAATTCAAGCTATACAGTACTTGAATAATTGTGTGCTTTTTCAGTACAATATTCTCCCTAAGCAACGGAATAAATACTTTTTTCTTTGTTTCGTTTTTCCCCTCTCTATGCAAAACTAAAAAAAAAGCAGTACTGCTGAACATAAAAATGATAGTAAAATAAAAAAGAAAACAAAACACGCACTTAATAATTTTGTTTTGGCCTCGTAACTGTGTATTAAATCTATCTGGTTAATCATACATAATAACTTTTGTATCTCACTTTATGTACTAAGGCCCTTAAATAAGATTCTGCGTCACTCTACATTTTCATTTTACGTCTAATCTTTAGTGTCTATATCTATGATGATACTTATAAGATAGTTATTTTTGCCTTAAAGCTGCATACCTCCAGATGAGCGAAAATATTTCAATAAAATCAAACTTGAGAAAAAATGTACTAAGATTTTAGGAAAAGTAAAAATATTCAAGATTCAAGTAATATTTACATGTTATGTGCAATTAATGACTGATTTTTAGTATTTATAACTATATTACTACATATGTACTGCGTTACTAACGCAGTAAGGGCTATTTTTGGATATTTTGTCCTCTTTTTAGTAATTTACGTGGTTTGTAAGTGCCATTGATAATGTTTAAATTGCTTCCTTTTGGTAATTTCACTAAATAAAATTTTTAAACACATTTTCAAATTTTCATATAAATTAGCATGAATCTGGAGGCATGCTGCTTTAATCTGTGATATGGATAAGTAATTACCATCCTATGCAGTGTACTTGAATTCAATTTGTGGATCAGAAATATATGATCAAAATACATTTATATTTTATGTTTTGTTTTTTTTTTGTTTGGTAGTATATTAAAAAAATGTAGTTGATTTATAAAAATACTTATACTGGTACTT